TTTTTGGTCGAACTCATTAGTATTTTAAGAAAGGAAACGTTTTGTTATGTATTTTCATTAGTATGTTATTGTCATAAGCTAATCCTTTGTTTTCTATGTTGGATATTCAAAAATGAATGAAGTGGTTTGTCCCTCTAAGAAACATCCTAAAAGCTGAAGGAGAAGAAGAAAAGAAAGCGGTGATAGCTCAAGTGGAAGAAGGGAACGCGCTTCTCGAGAAGGCTTTCATCGATTGCAGCAAAGGAAAACCGTTCTTCAACGGTGATCACATCGGTTACCTCGACATTGCCTTCGGTTGCTTCTTGGGTTGGTTGAGAGTCACCGGGTTAGCAGCTGGTCATAAACTTCTTGATGAGGCAAAGACACCTTCTCTGTCCAAATGGGCTGAGCGGTTCTGTAATGATCCCGCTGTGAAACCTGTCATGCCAGAGACTGCGACGCTAGCTGAGTTCGCTAAGAAGATCTTTGCCAAGCCACAGGCTTAAGTCGCTGGTTGTGGATTTGTGGGTTGAGATATTGCAAGAATAAGAGTGTTGGTACTTTTTTTTTTTTTTTGCTAAAAGAGTGTTGGTACTTATTTATAGATGTTTTTATTTTGGTGGTGTTAAGGGTATTTGAACGTTAAGTTTGTATCCAGCTTTGTCAATGAAGTAATTTTGTTTATGTGGATGAGAAGTAAGAGAATTATATGTAATAAATCCCACATGTGGAATAATAAGTGGCTAATTATCACTGAAATGTTTCACATTGGAATGAATAGTAAATTAAATACTAATAGCTTATAAGTTTAAACACATTCTCCTAACAAACGAACTTTGAAGAAGAGGTGTATCCATATTGGACTTTTATGGTGTTTGCTAGACCCCAAAGGCTATACCAATTTTCTTAGGCCTCACATGACAGATAAAAATTTCGTGTCAATCTAATTTACTTTCTAACAATTGCCTTTTTGGAATGAACTAGCTAAACATTTTGTTCTGCATAAGATATGTGTCTCAACTCAATCAATGTTTTTTTCCGTGTTTAAACACGTGAATTGGTCCCAAGGCTAGAATTTAATGGTTCTATTGTTGCCCACGCGTTGCATATATTGTCACACGTCAGTTTTTGCCATTTGTTTGTATGTTCATCACCCATCACCAAATTAACCCTCTAATTGAAACGTAAAAAACTCTTGGCTTTTTCATGCTATCTAAACCGTAACTATCTCTCTCTCAAGCACATCGAGTTCTTCTTCTCGGTTCTTAATCTCCGAGATAAAATGGCGACCGGAGACGTGAAGCTGATCGGCTCATGGACGAGTGTTTTTGTCATGAGGGCAAGGATCGCTCTCAACCTTAAATCTATTAGCTACGAATTCCTCCAGGAGACGTTCGGGTCAAAGAGCGAATTGCTCCTCAAATCAAACCCGGTTTACAAGAAGATTCCGGTTCTGCTTCACGCTGATAAACCGGTTTGCGAGTCCAACATCATTGTTCAGTACATCGACGAGGCTTGGAGCTCATCTGAACCGTCCATTCTCCCGTCCCAACCTTACGACCGGGCCATCGCTCGGTTCTGGGCTGCCTACATCGACGATAAGGTTAGATTTAGCTCTTGTGGGTCTTATTCAGATAGAAATTCGATATGCATCATGTTAAAGATATGTTTGAAATTAATGGAATTTGATTAATTTTGCATGTTCCCAAGATTTATCGGCTTTTTTCTTGCTTCTTGTTGGTTTAATCCGGTTAAGAGTATGTAACTAACACGATATATATAACTGATTTAAACCGAATTAATTGGACCAACCCAGCTCACT